GAGAGGTGACGTGGGAGGTCAGATCCAAACGTCGACCCATCCTATGTCCCTCTACAGAGGAGCCCTAAGGGTGCATGCCAGGTCTGGTGAAAATCGGTCCAACGGTTTGCCATTATATCTTCGCAGACACACAAACATGATTTTATTAAATATTGGTTTAGAAGATTGTGGTCTCTGGAATGGAGCGTAATTTCTCAGCATAACTCAGGAAGTTCTAGATGCCTTATTATAAAAACGTAACTAGTTATAACAAAGGCGAAATCACACGTTATTAAGCCGCCTCCGATGGGCTTGGGTGTTTCTAATTATTTTGTACAATCTCTGTGCATATCCACGTTGCAACAGCTAAATTAGAGCATTTGAAAGATAATTTTTCGTTTATTTGACATCAACATACGAGACTTGGTTGCAGTACCAGTTTCAAATCGCCGAATTATAGGTTTAGCCCCTCTTGTCCGAAGAGTGGGTATATTTTTCTAGGCTCTATAAAGATGGACAGCTGTATGTACTCAACGTCAGGTAACAACCATTTAAAACTTTTATAAAACTATACAAAACATCACTAACTTTTGTATAGTATCTTAGTTTTTAACCACAACAGAAAGTTTACGTTATGAAACATGTTAACGGTAGAAAGTCAAGTTTTTATAAACAGATGTTAGAAGTTATTCTTACTAAAACAGGAAACGGTGTTGAGTAGTCTTTCTGTAAAATAACTTTTTGATAGATTGTATAAGTTAAAATTATCTTTGCTAAATATTTTCTGCATGACATATACATACATTTTATTTAACACCTCAAATGTCTGTTTTGTTCTGTTTTTCGTGACTTTTTCCGATTTCATTCCAATGCCAACTTCCTAAGATGAATTATTCGAAACATTTCCAAAGGTTTGTTTCAGTTAAACCATTTATTTCCTTGTTTTTATGTTTCATTAGAGCAAGTGCCTTCTCACAACTGGATATGGAGGATGAATCTGATAGATAGTGTCTCTCCACTGTTATAGGGGGTTCTATATATTCACTTACCTCTCTCACGAAGAAACATTTTAACACTCCTATTTCATATTTTGAATTTGTCCGTACTACAACTGAGACGATTTTCTCGTCTAGTTGCTTAAAATAAAAACAAACAAAAAACAACAACAACAGAAATAAATATATGATGAACTGCTACATATCTTCTGTTCCATACGTTAAAATGAACATAACTATTGTTTTCCTTATACATATGCTCGACTCGAATTTCTGCGGGTCGTGGGTTCGAATCCCCGTCCCACCAAACATGCTCGCCCTTTCAACCGTGGGGGCGTTATAATGTGCGGTCAATCCCACTATTCGTGGGTAAAAGAGTATCCTAAGAGTTGGCGGTGGGTGGTGATGACTAGCTGCCTTCCCTCTAGTCTTACACTGCTAAATTAGGGACGGCTAGCGCAGATAGCTCTCGTGTAGCTTTGCGCGAAATTCAAACAAACTTATACATGTGTGTTTGTTATTGGAAGCATGAAGTGATTTTACATGTTATTATGTGCTGCACGGTTTCTCAGTAGAGAAGCAGTTATAACAGCAGAAGTTCTAAACTTCAGAGCTATATCATATACAAAGAAGACTGTTTTCAATTAGAAGCTGGCTTACGACTCTAAAAATCGAGTTTCGATACCCATGGTGGGCAGAGCACAAATAACCAATCGTATAGCTTTGCATTTAATAAGAACCAAACCAAATTCAATCAAAAAAGTTGAAAACCATCAGTAACAAGGTGTTTAAGAATAATATAAGTTAGGATATTTTTTTACTCCTTTTACTTGAAAACACGTGAAACAAAATAGAAGTCCTTTGAAATACTTTTAACACATCTGACGAATTAACGACAAACTAAGTGGTCAAACTATTTTTTTTTAAAACTCCATGTTTTTATCCTAGTATAAGTTAGTCAAACATACTACAAATTACACTATTTCTAATAACTTTCAAAAGAGGTTTTAAGGAATTGATTTAAACGTAAGATTGAGAAACAGTATCACTAGTAGCCTCTGGTGGAATGGATTTTGACTTAATACACCTCCGCGGGGAAGAATCATAACGGTATAGTTGACTGATATTCATTAGGGTCTCGAATGGAACGTGATTAAACAACCGTAGTATTTTTTTTTACATAATCTAAAAATGACCGCAAAATCAGTGATTGACTGCATATCCAAAGAATCAGTTTCTAGACCCAATAAAGTCAAGTCTATGTTCGTTTTACAGGGTTATAATGTTTGACGTAGTTATGACTATTTCTTGCTAATTGGAGCCTGTTGACATGTCAAAAAATTTCATAGGACTAAAAATGTGTTTGCTATTGCTATTCCATAAAATATTCCAGTTAAGTTATTGATGGTGATGGAGTTGCATTTACCATCCTCTTAAATGTTATTGTTCTAAATTGTGTTTGCTTTGGTAAAGGTTATAGAATTTTACGTTTTGCTGCATAATGTTTATTCTTCCTGCATAATCAGCAATTTGTGATGCGTAACTTAAATTTTTCAGCTGCATAATTTTATTATTTTTTACGGCATAAAAATCAAGCCCCTGATGATGAGGGTAATGAACTGGTTGACCTAGATACTTACATACTAAGATATTAACACTGAAACGTATATTTTTATTTCTAGATGCACAAATAAAATGGAAGAATGCGTATGTGTTTCTTGCTTTTACGTATATAGTCAAGGCATAAAATTAGTTTCTTACAACATTCCCGTGTATTGGGAAACCGTTTACTCGATTTTTGTATCTGCATTTGACGTTTACAATGTATACATAGAAATGTGTTCAAGAAAATATATAAGTCATACTTTCAGATATAATATTTTTATTTAATATTATAAACAAAATAAATCCACAAGATATATAAATAAGATTCAAAGTACTTCCAAATTATTCTTAAATACTTTTCATAAGGTAATCTTTTTTTGTTGTTGTTGATTATCACAAAACTAAAATGGAAAAAAAAAGAAAGATTCATGGGTACTTGAAAGACAACTGTAAAATTTTTCTAAGCATTTTCATGCGTTCTGACTAGGATTTCTAATATGAAATTTGTGTTAATTCATTCTAAAAGTTAAGTTTTCTGTTTGTCCAACGTAACTTTCATCACACAATTTAACATATAATTACAGTTTTTAGAAGTGCAAGAGTACATCATTTTGATTTGAAACAAAATAGTTCCATTATGTTTCTAATGATATTAGTATTGTTAATATATCCTAGATTACAGAGTAGACATATCCTACTCCTTACATTATCACGTTTATAATAAAGTAAACGTTTTTGGGTTGCCTATAAGCTACTGTAACATTAATATTACTTAAGGCTCTTCTTATAGTGCTTGATATACAGGAGGCAGTTAAAATTCTTGTACTCTTAACTTGTAATCCTGGGATATACGAAGTAATGACTGGTAAAATTTGTGACTGGTTAATATCCTATTGTACCATATACAAAATCTATATAATTCTCGTTGCCAAAGTATATGGGATATTTATTTTGAATTGTCTGGGATAGTTACTTCTAAATACTAAATATGCGTGTGAATAGTGGGATTGACCGTCACATTATAACGCTCCCACGGCTGAAAGGACGAGCATGTTTGGTGTGACGGGGATTCGAATCGAGTCGAGCGCCCTAACCACCTGGCCATGCCGGGCCAGATACATAGATTGCTGTTTCATTATTATATGGAATACAAATTTTAATGGGTTTAGTTGTAACCAAGTTTTAAATTATCCAAACATTAAATTTACAGCTGCAAAGGCTTATAGAACTAATTTCTTCAATGTGTTGGTTGAAACTACTGACAATGGCTCTTTAAAAAATGATTTTTTTTTTATAAACTGGCCAATTCACACGCTTGACAATTCCCGGTTATCCGGGTCCCATTTGACAATGTTATAAAATTACCGATAACACGACTGCACACATACTAATAAGCTATTCATGAACGCCTTCTTCACACAATTACCGATAACACGACTGCACACATACTAATAAGCTATTCATGAACGCCTTCTTCACACAATTACCGATAACACGACTGCATTCACACATTATAAATATTTTCAAGATGAAGGTTAGTTGTTTTCCACCACCTAAGAACGAGAAAAAGCAGTTTTTAATCGTGTACTCTAACGATAAGGTCAGGACCTTTGCTAAAAGTTAGATATGTCAACTTTGTAATCTAGGATATATTAACAATACGATTGAACTATTTTGTTCAAAATCAAAATGCTGTACTCTTGCACTTCTAAAAACTGTAATTATATGTTAAAATGTGCAATATGTGATGAATGTTACGTTGGTCAAATAGAGAATTTAAGATTTAGAATGAATCAACATAAATTTCATGTTAGAAATCCATGTCAGAGCCCACTAAAATGCTCAGAACATTTTTACAATTGTATGATAAGTACCCTTAAAATCTATTACAAGAACCTCTTTTTTATATTCGAATTTAGTTTTACGATCATACGAAACATATTTTATAAGAAAACTCGGAAGTACGCTTAATCTCACTTACCTAACTTGTAGATCTATGTTTTTAAATTGTTTTATTATTTACAAGTTTGAATTGTTTATGGATTTTGCATAATATATAATCATTATTCATAGTGATATTTTTAGAATATTTTGGTTAGATGTATGTGCAAAAAATATAATTACACACACACATATATATAATACATTTCAACTTTGTTAAAGATTATTAATACGCGTTGATTTTTAATTAGGTTGGCTGAATAGGAGTGTTGAAGCTGCGAAAGCGCTACCAACAGACGAAACTCAAAAATATAAACAAACGATATTTCGAACTTTGAATATACATGTATTAAATACGCTCGAGAAGATCACACCTCTATATATGTGTGTGTATATATATGATTAGACGTAGTTGATCATCATATATTTTGCTTTATCTATTTATAATAAAAACTATAATAAGGAAACTACGGTACTTACTTCTCCGCTTAGGCCTCGACAACGACACATATTGAATTTTTTGAAGCCACACTGGTTCAATAAAGCTACCCCAACACGTTCAAGTCTGAGGTTTGTATTACTACAAACGACAGTTTGAACAGCTGGAAGACATAAAACAAAATCACCTTTAATACGTGCTTGTACAGTTACAAATAGATTAGAGGCTACAAGTACAAGTTACATATCATGATAAAGTCCACCATCATCGTCATGGCGTGAACTACATCACACCTGACTATCATATCACGCAAACACATGTACATACTAACACGAGCTGGCCTATGAACTGTCCAATCATATGTAAAGGGTTCGACCATTGTGCGTGTGTTAGCTGTTTCAACCGATAACCGCTTTCCACAAACAGGCTTGAACAATGTAAGGTAACTCGCCCTCTAGGGTTTGTTGTCCCCGAGAAAACACTATCAGGAACACCTAGATTAAACAAATAGAATGCACCGTATCTATTTTAAAAAGAAAGAAACACAACACAGGCATTTTTTAACGTAACAAGACCTGAAACTTCAAGGGCCTTTCAAAGGAACATTAAGCCTCAAACTGAAGTCGTTAATGGAAGCACCTACACTACAGTACATATATATTATCAGGGACGATATATGGGTTCATTCATCGCAAGCGATTAAATACATTTGCAAACCGGTGTTATAAAAAATTACATCAACCATCTTTACTTTACTCATATTACTGGAATTCAGCTGGAAAAAGTTTTAATTCCCATGCTCAGCGTTTTCAGAATCGTAGCGAAGAGAAAATAATTGAGACTGACATTTTCTTATACATAAGATAAAAAACGAAAAATGAGCGTATAAAAATTACAACTTTAAACAAGCCTCACATCTGTTTCGCAAGATATTTATATTCATAAAGCTGTAATGTCCATTGTTTATTAGTTTCTTTTTTTTTATATGAATACCACATATAAGCGTCTTGTTTTAAATATTCACGAAGAGGTTTAATTGCTGTCATTAGGCCTATAATATTTAAAACATTTATTAAAATATCCATGAAAAAAAAAGTTACCCCCAACTGACACAGTTTTTAAAAAAAAATATTGCGCTAAAGCCACATCTTTCTGCTTTTGTCTTCGACGCCATTGTTGTAAAATAAAAACTTTGTCGTAAATGCGCCAAAAAAAAGAAGAAGTATTTTCGTTGGTCCGTTATAAATCAAGGGATTTAATTTCAGGTTTTTACACTAGATAAATCCTCTGTCAGAATGTTTAGACATGTCTAGCGTAAATTATCTAGCTTTGGTGTACGAAGCTAGGCCAAAATATATGGGCCTGCAAACGTGTGTTGTAAACTTAAAAGATAAAGTTATGATTTTGATTGCAATATAGAGGTACGTAACTTAACGTGCACGTGACTCATTCAATGGTAAAAAACAAGTCATGATAGTAGTTACCGCATAGTTTCCTTTGCCCACGGGCATCATGGGACGCTGTAGAGTGACGTTTATCTTATTCTTGTTTGTTTTTTTTAATCTTCCAGACTTTATTCAATGACATGTGTTGTAACAGTTCTTTATTCTTACACTTCCACAAGTATATATTATACATCATACATGCTGTTTATTGTTGCTGTTAACACAAAGCTGCACAATTAGTTCTGTGCGCTGTTTCCACAGCAGGGAAGCGAACCCTGAATTTCAGTGTTCCAAGTCCATAAACCTAATACTCACAATTGAAAGACATGTGTGTACTGAAAGCCTTCTTCTTAACAATATCTCAGTTCCCATTAAGACAATTTTGCTATAGAATTCAGTTGGTAATATTTTAGACGTTCTAAAAACAAAGGTTTCATACCAATTTGTATCTTTCGACTATTTACTTTATTAACTCTAACATACAATACCCGCACTTTACTTCGAGGTCCGAAGACCCCAATGTATTTACCAAGCTCCTCCATTATCCTCAAATTATGGCTACCCCAAGGACACTCACCCGTTATAAATGAGCATATGTGAAAAGTTTAATCCAATAAGCTTGTGAGTTGAATACATTTCGAAACAAGGTGTCCCCGAGATTCCGAGGGAACACAGGAACACAAAATCCAAGGCTAGATTCGGGTTTGGATCTAAGCCTCCATCATGCTTGTGTGAACTTCTGGGCGCGTTTTATGTTTGTAGAATATCCGATTATAGTATGTGTGAACTTCTGGGCGCGTTTTATGTTTGTAGAATATCCGATTATAGTAGAAACGAAGTCGAGCCTCATTAATTTCCAGCTCCTGTAAACCTAGTTCACGTAGTAGAAGTATATGTTAATCTGGAATATCATGTTTGGTTTCATGTTTATAGAATATCCGATTATAGTAGAAACGAAGTCGAGCCTCATTGATTTCCAGCTCCTGTAAATCTATTTCACGCAGTAGAAGCATATGTTAATCTGGAATATCATGTTTGGTTTTATGTTTGTAGAATATCCGATTATAGTAGAAACGAAGTCGAGCCTCATTGATTTCCAGCTCCTGTAAACCTATTTCACGCAGTAGAAGCATATGTTAATCTGGAATATCATGTTTGGTTTTATGTTTGTAGAATATCCGATTATAGTAGAAACGAAGTCGAGCCTCATTGATTTCCAGCTCCTGTAAACCTATTTCACGCAGTATAAGTATATGTTAATCTGGAATACCATGTTTGGTTCCTTTGATTTATTTTCACACAAAAATGACTTATATCAGGTTCCAGATTACCGTATAAGATTTAGTGTATTAGACCCTGAATCTGAAGGACCATAGTTCACTCGCTGTTGCTGCAAGTTTGTACTCTGCACTTTGGAACTGTGGGTGCATCATCAAAGCCAAATTGAAATCTCACTATTCGATTAGAGTATCCCAAAATCTGGCGATGGCTTCTGTTGATAAACTGCCTTTCTCCTGGTCTATTAGTCAGATAGTCCTAGCATATCTTTGCACGTACGTCCGAAACAAATAAATAAGTGTGTTTAACACCTATGTTGTTTCTCGGTGAGTCAGCGGTAGGCTTATGGATTTACAACTTTAACATACAGGGTTTGATGCTCAGCGGTGGACAGAACACAGACAGCTCATTAGGTTCTCCTCAATTTATTTCAGTCAGTAGCCACTCTCTTATCTTACACATCCTGGTTGTAAAATCATTACATTTATTCTTATTTTAATGTTAGATTATCATTCATACTTCTTATTCGACTCAAGACAATATTCTATATTGAGTTTCAAAATGTATTTGTGTAGTGTGGTACTTGCCGGCTAGCGGATTTCTCTCAGAGAAGTCAGTTAGGGCCCGCTAACCGGAAGTTTGGAGGACAGCGAGTTATGGAATATGTGTCAGTTTATTTTTCCGATCTCTTACTGAGTTTGTCAGGAAGAAAGAGTCAAATCACGGAAGATGCACAGAACAATCTTCATTTCGAAATAACAATCACTAATAAAATAGTAAAATAAAAGCAAGTATATTTGCTGTTGCTGTGTTGTACTGGAAAAGAAATGAAGTAAAATCTTAGAGAGCTCTTTCTCCCACCTCCCTCTACACCCCTGTAAGTTAAACTAGAACTGTGTAATATTTAAGTTAAGTTAAAACAATGTCTTGCACCACTTGTTTAAATAAAATACTTTACTTAAACTATAAAAGAAAGTTAAAGTTACAATAAAAGTAAAATCTCACAAAAGCTCTAAAAAACGTTCAGTAAAAAAAGCTTATCAATATTTCAGTTCATTTACATTAAGTTAAAGGTGTTGTTCATATCTAAGTTTGAAAGCTCGTCCAAATCTCTGAAAATATTCTCAACAAAAAGGAACCTCACTTTTAAATCAAAACATATAATAGACTTAAGATATATTTTCACACAAAACTCTACCCTGCACGCGGCGTACGTGCACTCGGGCTGAGGGGAGGGGGGCGGGGGAGCTCAGGCTATTTCCCAATTAGCTGAAAGGAAAAAAAAACTTTCTGTTTTTTGGATGTCACATGCTATCTTCCCCGCAAGACTCGTTAATTGCCAATTAACGGAGGAGGAAGTCCAGGAAAAAAACTTGCATGAAGTAAAGTTAAGATGTGTTTACTTAAGAGACACTCTACCTCTAAACTGAACTAAAAGAAAATAGAGAAACTTCGAAACGATTTACATATTAACTAAGAAAACAGAACTCACATGAGCTATATTAGTCTGGGGAGCATAACAAAGAAAAAAACTTCGTGTTGTATCATGGCAATTAAAACCAAAATAACTTTAGCGTTGACGTATTCTTTATGATATACTGCTTTTCTATTTTCTGGAAAAGTTGCTTCCTGGATTTGAATGCTATTGTTAAATCACATAGTTTAACATCAACACATCTTACTACACTATATACAGTTCACATCATTCTTCTCATCCATAAAGTTGTCACAGAATAGAATGCAGTTCACATTATATTTACTCCTAATTTAATTTCCTTGAATGAAATATGATACGCAAAGTTTTCTTTTTCCAAACTTATATTTTCAGTAAGTAGCAAACACTGTATTTTTTCATCGTGAAAGATTAATCATGTTAATAAGTAAAATACGCTACACCGTATTGTTTAACGTATAGTGAGTGAATACAGCACACATTGGCTTCATTTAGATCTTGGGTCTGTTGAATATAGGGCAGAATTATACAGCACATATTTCTATTTCCAAGCTTATGGTTTAGTGCTCTGGATACAATACGTCACACTATTTCTCGTAGTGAGCAGAATATACTACACATTTGTTACTTTCAAAGTTCAGGTCTGATGAAGTAGTGAGCAGAAAAGACTACACATTTCCTACCTTCAAAGTTTTGGTCTGTTGAAATAGTGAGTAGAATATACTACACATTCTCTACCTTCAAAGTTAAATTCTGTTAAAGTAGTGAGCAGAACAGACTACACATTTCCTACCTTCAAAGTTTTGGTCTGTTGAAATAGTGAGTAGAATATACTACACATTCTCTACCTTCAAAGTTAAATTCTGTTAAAGTAGTGAGCAGAAGTATTCTACTTGCTGCTTCAACAGACCTAATCTTTCAATGTAGGGAATGTGTAGTGTATTCTGCTCACTACTTCAACAGACCTGAACTTTGAAAGTAACAAATGTGTAATGTATTCTGCTCACTAC